AACAGTCTGCCTGGAGTCACCACACACACACACGCCTATTCTCGGGTGTGGATCTTGAAGAGTGGATTCTGTGTCTTTCCACCTACAAGTCTCTTCTGGTCCTTCCTCCCCCAGCATGGTGATGTCGTGACTTGTGACTGGGCGAAGCATCCCAGGTGGCTGCTGTAGTCACTGTCTATCTGCCTATAGTCACTGAGGGCAGAGCACCTCTTCTGGAACTGAGCTTGGTTAAATGTGGGAGTCTATTTTAATCGCTCCTCTTTTTCATGGGTTGGGAGATCAGAGCTGAGCACGCAGATGCTGACGGAGCCTGCTCTGTCTAGGTCTAGGCCCCTGTCTCCTGTGCGTCTGCCTTGACTCATGTCTCTTATCACCTCCATTTGCTCCATCCCAGGGAATAAGTCATTCAGGCTTCTGTCCAGGGTGGCCTGAGTTAGGCTTCCACTTCAGAGACACCTGGCACATGCCACCTCCCCATTCCTTCTTCCAAGGTAGAAAGATGCCACTCTGGCAGCCACACAGCAAGGAGTCCTTTGTGGCTATTCACACATTACTGCCTGGGAAGAAATCTGCTCACGATATTTCTCTCTCTCTTATTTTTTTTACTTCAATCCATCAACAGGAAATTGGCTTTGGGGTAGGGGTGGGGGTGGGGGGGAGGGAGACTACAGAAGACAAAGTGCTGGCTCTGGTGCCCTCTGGTGGCTGAATCACAATCCCTCCATCACTCCTCTGTCTGGAGGGCGGCTGGGGTTGGAGAGCCACCTGAGACTCTGCTCCCCTGCCTGAGTGGTTTTTGGTTGATTTAGGGTTGGTTAAGTTCAATTTCAAAGTCTCTAGTTATAAAAGTAGGCATTATCCCTTGTCTCCTTCAGAGAACTCTAAATGGCTGAGCAATTTCAAATCAGAAATGTGTTCATGGGTCCAGTTACTATCTTGGATCTACCTAGAAAATGGATTATTGGATGTCAATCAAGACAGCACCATTTGCCATACTTTATAACTTGAAATTTCCATATTCAACATTTGCCAAAAGATTAAAGGTACTGCGGTACAGGGGATGGATTTCCAGACAAACTCATATCGCTGGCTCCCCAGAGAAAGATGACCTACTTCTGTTTTAAGGCTCATACTACCAAGAAAAGTTGAATTAAAATGAATCAGTCATGACAGTTCTCTATTTTCTTTATAAGATTATAATAACTATTTATCCCCCAATAGTATCATAACCTCTCACTTCCTTAGGCAAGAGAGCCTTATCTGCTAGATAAGTCATATCACTGGGTGTCAGCAGCCATATATGGATTGAGACAGAGCGAATATTTTCTTTAAAAGACACACAGAACACCGCTTCTTACAATGGCATCACTCCCTGTAGCTCACTGCTGCCAGACACCAGCCTTCCACAGAACTCGAATTCATGACTCTCCCTTTTCATCATGAGTGAATTAGGCTCCCACATGGGTGCTTGCTGAAAAAGAAGACAACTGTGCTCAACCAACCCTTGGTTCTCTGCCCCTCTCCTGCTCTCTGGGAGCCCCTGCAGTCTGCAAGGTTCTCCTTCCTTTCTCCTCTCTGCCCATGCGCCTTCCCACCTGCACTCTTCTCTTCCTGTCTGCAAAGTGCTTTTGAACTTGAGCCTTTTCCAAGTCCATCACCATTGTTCAGGTCCCTTTTGCAGCTTTAGTGTTCACTGGAGAACTTCTTCAAGGGAACCTCCCCTCCCAGCACTGAGGATCTATCTTCCTTGTTAGCTTGGAGTGCTGGCCTGTGTCCCTTACTTCCAGCAGTAAGGACTTCCTGACCCCTGCCTGCACACAGGCTGCCCAGACCCCACACTGCCTCCTCACTGTGAAGTGAGAAGCTTGGACATGGTAGTTTTCACACCAGAGCAGAGGGATCCTAGGAGCCTTGAATTAAGCCTCCCACTACCCCTTACCCTCTGACTGATGAAGTTCCCCCACCTTTCATGAGTTTTTCAAACTGTAATTCAAAGATATGTTTCTTTGAGGGGAAAAGGTGGCTAAAAAAAGTTTAAAGAAAAGTTAAGAAAAACAATGTACGGGAAGATCTAATATCCCTTCCACAGCTCTCAAATGCTTCTGAATTCCCTCCTGTCCAATCTCTTGCTGTCGGCCTCTCCTTGGGTGGGAAGGCAGTAAGTAACACTTTACAGGCAGTGTTTTGCCCTGGGCTCCAGCCATCAGCTCTTCTAATGGGTCTTGGGCAGCTGTCCCAGGCCAGATAAGTCACATTAAAGCTGAGAACAAAACCAAAGGATTGGATTTCTTTTTAAATTAGGCGAGGAAAAAAGTGCCATTTGAAGCTCCCAGTTGGTCTGGGTTCCTGGAAGCTGTTGACATGCTTTTAAAAGATATCTTAAATAGTCATGCTCTTAGGCCCATCTTCGTTTTGGAACTTCCAGGCAAGTTTACTGTTTGCTTTGGTCTAAGTAACAGTTTGCAATGTGCCTACTCTGGTGTCAGGCTGAGGTGCAAGAAGGGAAAGGAAACTAATATTTATCTAGCTCATGCCAAATTTCAGGGACTAAATATAGATTTACTGGGGGACCTTCCGGGTAATCCCCACTGTCCCCACTCTTTATATCACTAGCTTTGAGAACTTAAAGTTGCTTCCCACATCACCGAGCTGGTACGATGAGAAGCCAGGATTCAAGCCAGGTCCAGCTGATGCCTGCATTTGAATGTCCTGCAGAGGACACAGAGTCTGGAAAGGAAGACTCCTTTAGGGGAACTCTTCTGGAGTCTAGAAGCCATCATAAACAAGATAGCATCTAATTTATTTTCTACATGGGGACACTTGTCCAGGGCAAATCCTAATCTGGATGGGAAGTGAGGGCATCAGACATAAGCTGGTACTACCATGGGGAAACTGGGATGCATGGCCATCCTCTTATCAGGTTGACTAGAAAAAAACCCAAGATGCTGAAAGGCAAGGCTACTGCCAGGAGAAACAGAAGTGAGAGGCAGGGCCAGGATATGAACCAAACTTCCCTCTAAAACCCCTGTCCAATTACCCTCCATGGGCAATTGGTGGGACCACAACTATGGTGCATTTTACAAGGGTACATGTTAAATCTACTAAGTATAGAATATAAATGTCTTAACACAGTAACTAAGAAAATGCAGTGAAGGCCATGTTAATCAGTTTGATGAAAGTATTTCAAATTGTATATAAAACAAGCACATCATACCCCCAAATTGCATTAATGCATACAGCTATGATTTAATAAAATAAATAAAAAATAAAACCCCTATCCAGACCTCCCCACCACAGCATGTCCCCTCCCTCTTTATAAGCTCAAGGTCATACCAAATTCCCTGAAGCTTATAACAAACAGGACTCCAGACAGCATCATAGGATAAGTACTGAGATAGTTCCAACACAAAGCTTTGTTACCCCTGAGCAGGGAAGATAGCCAAATTGAACCTTGGTTCCAAAACCAAATTGGAAGCTTTGTAGAATCAGTGAGAACTTCATGACTCAGAAGTATTGATGTGAAGGTTAAAAGAGTGATCCCTTTCTACTTTTTTCAAATCCCCCCACTTCTTTCCATCCTTCATTAAAGCTAAAATTAGCATATTTGTTAAGGCATTGCTGATGCTGATGATTGGATATAACCAGAAGCTTGAATGGGAAGTAAGGCTCCTGATACCTCCTCTAAGGGCTCCCCACTCAGGACCACTGCAGTGTCATCACCACAAGTCAGACACCAGACAACTAGGGACAGCCCAGAGCCTGCTGAGAAATGTTAAACTCTCAATCCTAGGCCTCCTTACCCTGTCTCACCCACTCCTTCCTGAAGAAACCATCGTAAAGGGTCTTGTTCACATTTTTCTTTCACTTCCTGTGCCCCCTGACTGACCTGGTGCCACCCCATGTGGCCCCCGAGAAGCATGGCACACCCCTTCCTCTGGGGATCTGTAACAAACTACTCTTCAATGGCAATGGTCTCCCAGTCTGTTGGCCTTCCCTTACCTAATAATAATAAAACACACATTTTAAAGGAAGCCAATCTCTGCAAAGGTCATGTGCCCTCTTCACCTCCTCAGGACAGATGGTCTCAGTGTGCGGAAAGAGTGGAAGCGTGAAAAGGCAAGGGTAGCTCCGACACAGACTTTCATTTTCATCAAGAACCACAAATGGCCGCTTTCTCCTCAGTGGTGATCAAGTAAAGAAATGAGAAGGGAGTTTGTTGAAAAGATACCCCAGTAAAAAGTTACCATCTCATCATCTTGGTGTGACAAAACAACAATCTAAATTAGAAAAATAAAACCATCAACAACAACATGTAACTAATCATAGCTGCGTGACAGCCATTTGCTCCTCTAATTATCATCATTGGCATCTGTGAGCTGCCTACAGTGCTTTTGGGGGAAAAATAAATTTAAAATACAAGCATTGAATTCACTGCACTCAACTACAAATATATACATGAATTTTTTTCAAAGAGACTGTTAATAGAGACGATATTAATGTAGAAGGATGAAATATTCCTAGATAGAAGCCATCCCAGTAATGCTGACATTTCTCCCCATGGCACTCCTGTAACTAATTAATCTTGAAATGTGTTTGTTAGAGATTTTGTTTGTTTCAAAGTTAGGAAACACATGCATTTCCCTACAAGAACAAAGTCCATAAATATTTTATGCAAGAGAAATGAATTGAATCCATCCCAAGAACATTTGTCATCCAGATAGTCAGGACAAGGAATTCACTTTGCCCACCTTGTTGTGACAGCATCTGCCTGGAAGGTGTCTGCAAGGCCAGTGTGAAATGACAAGCATTCCATTTTTTTTTTTCCTACTCACCCTTTAGCCAGCGTTGCTATGCCAACGTCAGTTAACTTCATGCCTACGCCTACAGGAAGAGAGAGCAAATGGGGTTTGTGTTACTCAGGGCTCCTCAGAAAGATGGGCCATCTGTCCCCAGGAGAGGGATGGCAGATACTCCATCCTCACTTCCCTTCCTGTATAAATGTAAACGTGCACTTTCCTCCTCATTTCTGCCCTCCTAAACCTCCTTTGGTTGAGGCCTTTTAGACTTACATCCCACTTTAGTGGGTGATCACAGGGAAGGCGGCAGCTGAGGTATCAAGCCTCCTCAGAGCAGACAACCCACCACCTTTCCGCACCTGCTCAGCCCACCCACCCTCTGACACAAAGGGTCATGAGTGGGTCTCAGGCTGCTGTTCGCCAACACCTCCCCCCCAGAAATGCTCCCATTTCAGCTTAGGTCTGGACACCCCCCGCCCCCATCATCAGTGAAGGAGGAAACCATGGAAAGGAGGGTGGACACAGGCTGGGTGGTTAATGTGAACAGTGAGAAAGTTCCAGATCACCTCCCACATAAGATGTTTGTACATGAAGAGACTTATCTTGGATCTGTCTCGGAGGAATGCTGATTATGACCACACACACACACACGCACACACACACACACCCACACTTCATACAAGAAATGGTATTCCTAAAAGATTTCTACATACAAGGGTCTGACAATTAAGTTTTAAACTTGTCACCATAAACTTACATTGGCAGCACTGTACAAACAACTCCATAAGGTTTCATAACCTTGGTATATCAGAGTCTCAGGGTTGGGTTTATGTTGATGTGTGGCAATGTCTTGCTGAGTGGCATTCGTTATTGTTGTTGCATGTTTTTGCGTGCCACTGTAAGAATGTCAGAGCTCAATCAGAGCCACAAACATTCATAAATTTCCTTGTTAAATTTCGCAAGAGTGGAAGTGAAATCAGGGACCTGTCAGTCCAAATTTATGGGGATAATGCCAAGAAGAAAATGGTGGTGTACAGATGAATTAAATGTTTTTGTGAGGGGAAAGAAAGCATTCCTGATAAAGAAAGGTCAGGGTGGCCAATAATGAACAAAACTGATAAAAACATTGCAAAAACTCATCAAATTGTGCTTCAAAATCATTGGCTGGCTGTGAGAAACATAGCAGACCAAGTAAATATCAATAGAGAAACAGGAAAATGTGGAAATGTTGTCCAACAACTCATGGCTCGTGCATCATGACAATGCACCAGCTCACACGGCACTATCTGTGAGGGAGTTTTTAGCCAGTAAACAAATAACTGTATTGGAACACCCTCCCAATGACTTTTTTCTTTATCTGAAGATAAAGGAAATACTGAAATGAAGATATTTTGATGACATTCAGGACATCAAAGGTGATATAACAACAGCTTTGATAGCCATTCCTGAAAAAGAGTTTCAAAATTACTTTGAAGGGTGGGCACTGGCATTGGGGCATAGCTTTTAAAGGGGGGTACTCTGAACGTAAGCACAATGATATTCAGCAATGAGGTATGTAGCGCTTTTCCTAGGATGAGTTTGCAAACTTGATTGTTAGGGCTTCATATATTGAGAACATGCTGAACGCTCAGCAGAGAAGCTTAAAATCTATAGCACCATAAAGACTCTTTCACCTATTAAAAATGAAATGCTACATCTTAATTTACCTTTGGGCACACATCTGGATTTTTATATGTTTCTGAGTTTGCACCTATTGGGGATGTAATAATAAAGTCAGTCTCTGGCTATGTGCTGTAACGGGAAGGTATTTTTGGCATGAATTATTAAGATGAACTTTACTACACCATCTAGCTGGTCATTTCAGGCTCCTTTGTTACGCTTTGTTTCTGATGAGAGATTAGTAACATCTTGTAAGGATTAAGGTGCTTGAAGGCACCCAGCAGACCTCTCTTTCCCTTCCCTCCTGCCCTCTCTCCCCCCAGGGACATCACAGGTCCACGGCATCCCTGGAGCCCAGGTCAAGTTCCTCACCCTGCATGTCCGTGACTAGCAGGCAGCCACTGGTTTTCTGGTAGACCCAGTGCTGGAAGGTACAGCATTTCTGACCAGCTTCGGATTCTCTTCTCAGGAAGTTTATTTCCTTTCCATCCCTGATGGAATATTTCACAAATTCTCCAATCAGCTCCTCCTCCACTGTTGCATACGGGATATTGTTCTCAGGCCGATAAATAAGAAAAATAGGAATGATCCTGGAAGGGAAGAGAACACAGGTATCCAAGTTCTCAGATAGGAAGAAAGCCTTCCACAATGCCCTGCCCTCACCTGAAGCCGCCGAAAGATACAGAATTAATCTCTATCGATTAGGTTTAAAGATCCTCTCAATGACTATCCAACGAGTAAGAGGATAGGTTTGTGTTTTGTATTTGTTCTTTAAAATTCCTCCTTAGGATGGAGTCTAATTATTCATACAGAAGCACATGTCATTGATATAGTCTTATCTTAAGGATCCATTAGTTAGTGACTATAACCAATCTATCCATTCCTCCCTCTTCCTTCCTTCCTTCCACTCGTCCATCCATTTATCCTTCTTCCCTTTCATTCAGTCAATGAATTTTATTCAGTGGCCTCTCTGTGTTAGATGCTCTTCTAGATGTGATTCCCCACAACAGCGGTAAAGAAAACAGGCTCTGCTCTCAGAGACCTCACCCTGAAATGAAGGAGACAGACAATAAAGAAGTAAGTGTGTGGTGCTCAGCGCTCCATGAACAGAGCATAGGTAGCACTGGGGTGGGAAGGGGCTGCTGTTCTGCGTAGGGAGGTCAGAGTCATCCTTGCTAATGAATAAGGAGCATGTGAGCAGAGACCCTTAGGCAGTGAGGAGGGAGGCACGAGGTCATCTGTGGCAAGAGCATTCCAGGAGAAGGAACAGCAAATGGAAAAGGGTGTCTGTGGGCAGAGGACTCAGCGTACGGCTGGGGTGCAGTGAGCCAGGAGAGAATGGGACGGTGGCAGGTGCTGAGCGAGGCAGGGAGGGAACAGGAAGCCTGGCTTTGGGGAACTGGGAGGCCACTCGGAAAACTGTACCCTTGACATTGAGTTGGATGAGAAGCCATTGGCAGGTTTGGGGCAAGAGGGGGAACATGTTCAGGTCCTCTGTGTTAGGCGGATCAGTGGTGCTCTGCGCAGACTCTGCTGGAGAGGGGCTGAGGGAGGGGCAGAGCAAGGAGAGGGGGAGGAGCTGCACAGTGGCGACAGCAGCAGGACGTGGGGCGGTGACGAGACCAGACATGGGAGGGGGTCTTCAGCATCTGCCCGTTCACTGTCGTGTCTCCTAGGTGACTCTTTCCTGCCTCCCCCTCTCACCCCAGATCACCCACATCCCTTCCCCAGCCTCGCTCTCCTCCACCGATATTTCCCTCTCCAGGGTCATTCCCAACAGTGCAGCAACACACTGTGGAAACTACACAGCCCACCCAACTCCATCACATCTGCTTTGCAGGTCAGATCCCGAGCAGACCCTCTGTCTCCCATCCCTCCTCTCCTCCCTCTCTCTAACATCTCAAAGGAGGCTTCTCTCCAGAGAAGCTTCTGTCAATGGTACCACAGACACCTCCTCCCAGCCCTCCCCTCCCGCAGCTCTGGACATGGTCACTGTCTCACTTCTTTCTGAAGCATGGTCTGAAAGGCCTCCGGTTCCTCCCGGCCTCCCCCGCTTCTCTGGCTACTTCCTCTATCTCCTTTGCTGGTCGGTTCCCCCACCATCTCCCCAACATTTAGGCTCTGTCCAGCCCTGAGATAACTCTTCCCTCTCTGCACACACCCCTAGTAACCTCCATTCACCCTCCAGTGTATCTCCAGCCCAGCCCCCCTCCCCAGTCCTGACCCACACGTCCAGCAGTCTGTCCACCCCTGCACTCCATATCTAATGGGTATCTCAGATTCAACGCAGCAAAACTGAAGAACTCATTTTCCCAGCCTCCCACATCTGCCCCATCTCAGTGACAGACAACTTGTAAAAACGGAAATTATCAGTTCATTCAGTAAACATGAACCCAGTAGCTCGTGCCAGAATCTCAAATTTGAACCAGGAGAGCAAAAGTGAATGAGACACAGACCCTGCCTTCCAGCAGCAGCCTTTGGTCCCGCTGCCCACTTGCTTTGGCCCCCATGAGAGAGAGCTGAGAGAATTCTAGAGAGTTCTCCACCAGGGCTGTGCCGTGATGGGGGGGAGTGGGGGGGGCTAAAAACTCCATGTGGGTATCAACTTGAGTCAAAGGTGATTGGAAAAATATAGATTTTTTTTTTCTTAAAACAAATATAGACATTGAGACAAGAAGGATACAAAATTCAAACAAATTTAAAAGATATAAAATACAACACTTCAAAGGAATCACAGGTGCAGGCAGCTGCTTTGGACTGAGCTCCCAGACCCTTGGAAGGGCAAATATTTATGCTCCTCTGTTTTCATACAAGTATTTCCTTGAAAAAATGTGTGACTGTCCCTTAAGCATGAGGACACAGAAGCCGTCTCTCAAGCAGACTCTGAACCAGACCAGGGTCCTTCTAGAACCTGGTCCAGGGACACGAAGCAGGCAGCCCTTCGACACCAGCACCCTCTGAGTGACAGTCACGCTAGAGTCATCTGGAGCAATGTTTCAAATTTAACTTCAAAGAAGCTCTTTCTGTTTTGTTGAAGAAATTTTAAATATCAGCCAGATGGGAGTGGGCATATGTGAGGCTGTGGACCTTTGCCTGTCTCCCTGGAATCGGCCCAGCCACCAAGGCTCCCTTTGTCAAGCTTTGTCATTTTTTGCAGGATTTGGAGCATCCTGTTTTCCTCCTGAGGACCCTCTGAGAACCCCTCTGCCCACTGACCCTTAGAGCAAAAGCGTTCTCAGCTTGCTTGGGTTCTTATTAATTTTGCAGAAACTAGAACTGGCCATTATTCAGGTTCTTAATTAGGCCTGGCCTCTGCCCAGTGGGATGTCATTTGCATAGACAATGTGACTGTGTTGATATTCATGAATTCAAAAATAGAAGCTACCCAAACAGGGAGTGCTTTCTTTCTAAGACCCCACAAGCTTCATAAAAGGGAACTCCAGGCTGCTCCAATGTCTGGAGATAAACGTGGGGGTCCATTCAGGGGGCTGGCAGGGGAAAATCCAGGGCCATGTGGGTGTCAGAGAAGGCTGGAAACGTGCAGGGCAGCTGTGTGTGTGAGTGTGTGTGAGTGTGTGTGAGTGTGTGTGTGTTCTGACTGTGGGATCCTCTGAACATGGATCTGGCCCCGACGCCCTTCGAGGGCCCTGCTTTCCCTCTATCTACTCCATCACTCGTGCTCACACATTCTCCCCTTGCCAGGCAGGCAGCCAGGCATTCAAGATGGAAAAATGTCCTCATCGACCTTCAGGACAGTGGCCTACTCGCCGTGATACTGACAGAGCTGTTTAAGCAGCCCCTGCATCCATCCTTTGCCTACGCCCCTTCTAAGGCCCTAGATCACTATTTTCAGCCCATGTGCCAAAGCACATTGGTATGCCATGAAAAAGTTTAAAGATCATTAATTAAATTATTTTTGAAAAAAGTTCAAAGCACAGTACACAGTAAATATATTCTTCTTTTTACTCTTGTTACTGTTGTTTAGCAGGCCTGGGCTGGGTTCAAACCTAGTAGCCCCACCGTATGTGGCTGGCGCCCTAACCACTGAGCAATGGGCACCAAGTCCTTTACACATTTTTAAAAAATCAATATAATTTAAGCGTGCCATGAAAGTTTTGTAACTATAGATTCAAGTTTGCCTTGAGATAAAAAAGGTTGAAAAACGCTTCCCTAGATCAATCTTGATACTCATAATTTTGCGTTCTTTTCCTTAGAAAGGGCCCCGAATCATGTAAGAGTCATGCCACACAAAGCATGGGTCTGTTCCCTCAGGAAGGCACTGTGGTTCTGCACGTGGTGGGATTGATTCGTGGGTTTCGACTTTTCTGCCCTGGAAGAAGAACTTAACAGTATGGAGACCGGGAGGAGGAGAGATTGACAAGAAAGAACACAGCCAACTTCTTACAACATGAAACCTTAACTCAGCCCAGCTGGCGGGCTCACTATACTTAACCGAAAAGCTATTGTAAGTGATTTTTCTCTGGATTACACTAATTTTTCTTGAAGTTGCTGAGAAGTACTTGTGTAGTAACTAAGTATGTGATGCATTTCTTGAGGAAGAGCAGAAAGACTTTATACATGATCTGCCCAAAGTATCACCTAAGAAAAAGTTATTTTTCCCATTTGGGGGTTAACAAAGGCAATGTAGATAAGAATTCCTTCCTTCTTTCCAGTCCCAGTTTTCACTAATGGATAAAAAACTGCTCTGTCTGAAATTTCCAACATGCACTGGCAAAGGCTATTCTTTTTTCACGTAGGCATGCAACTATGCTGTCAACCAGGAAAGCAGAACCATGAACACAGGCTCCAGACTCCCCCACATTTGCTTGGGCCATGAAATATTTAGGCAATGAGTGGATAAAAGTAATCCGTGTAATTTACCTTTAGAGGATTCCAGAAGGTGGTTACTTTGCTCCTGATCATCCAATCCACTCTTCTCTGACACAATGGCACATCTTATTTTCGTCATAGAACTAATTGTATTGTGATAGTCTCTTATATTTGTTTATTGTTAGACAATACATATCCATGAGAGTAGAGACCTTTTCTTTTCTATTTAACATGAATGAATTTGCATGGATTTATTGGATGAATTAATCCACACACGTATCCATCCATACATCTGTACATTTATTTAAAGAATATTTATCCCATATCCCTCTGTACACCTCTGGAGACCCAGTAAAAGGCAGGAGAGCAACATGAGGGCCCTCGTGGAGCTGAGAGCTGAAACTTGTCCTGGTCCTTCTCACATACCTCTAGTCCCCTTCCCCCAAAGTCCCCAACAAATGGGGATTTGACACCAGACAGAGAAAACACACTTACTCGGGCACTTCTCCGAAGCCCTCTAGCGGCTGTGCCTCAGCAGCATAGATCTTGGCATAGTATCTGGCGGTATTTTGAACATAGCATTCCTGTGTCATCGAAACACATGAGAAACGCAATTGATTAGAAGAAATTTAAACAGTGTGCTACCTGAGAAGACCATTTGGGAGTTCCTCCAGTACCGGTCAAGCCAGTGGATTCCCACCCTACACACATTTGTTGGGGTCTCAGAAGCAATATTTATTGCCACCCAGAGGTGGCCACTAACAGAGGAGCTTTGAGACGTGAGGGAATTATCCAGTTGAAGGTCAAGTGGTCTCCAGGGCCAGGTGTCCCTGAATGCCATATCTTGAGCCAGCATGGCTGAAACTCACCCAGAGCTTAGAGGACTGGGTACACCCTCACGGTGATGGCAGGTAACACTCAGGGCCCTGAGGGTTTCTTGTGAGAGCTCCCATCATGATTCCTCTTCCAGGGTGTAATTGGAACAGCAAATAATGAACACCTTGGCTAGATTTCTGACTTGGGAAAAGCTAAGTGGATTCTGCTTCCTACTCTGTGACGCCTATCTGAGTGGGATTCAGGATGGGAGATATTCCAGGACTAGGTAATACTTGAGGTAGAAGGAATACCCAGTGAAAGAAAAAAGAAAGAGGGGTATATTCAGAGGAGAAAAGAATATAACTGTCAAAGCACAAAGTTGCACAGAACACTAGCATGAAATCTTACAGAACGCTGCCACAGGACAGCGTTCATCTAAGTTTAACCTATCAATTTGCTTGCAAAAAAGATAGACCCGGCTCAGTGCCTGTAGCTCAGCAGCTAGGGCACCAGAGCTGGTGGGTTCGAATCCAGCCCAGGCCTGCCAAAAACAACAACTATAACCAAAAAATAGCCAGGCGTTGTGGCAGGGACCTGTAGTCCCAGCTACTTGGGAGGCTGAGGCAAGGGAATCGCTTAAACCCAAGAGTTTGAGGTTGCTGTGAGCTGTGATGCCATAGTACTCTACTGAGAATGACATGGTGAGACTCTGTCTCAAAAAAAAAAAACAAAAAACGGTAGACCCACCTCTCCTGACAGCCTCACCTATGCTGGTGTCAAAAGTGAAATATTATCAGTTCATCAGTGGGGGAGGACGAGGAGGGGGAGAAACTCCTCTCCTCCTCAGCTCTTCTCCTGTCCGCTTGTGTCTCCAGGGTTCTGTGGCGTCCAGCACAGACAGGGGGGACCTTAGCTAGGGACCTGTTCCAATCTATCTTCATAGTTTATAGGCCAACATAAACCAAACTCAGGAAGGCAGAAAACAAGACAAATGCTGACCCTTCTGAATATCCTCCACCCTTCCTCCCCTCTACAAAATAAACCCAAAGAAAACATTCCAGAAACTACTGCTGATTTTATCTGTCCTTGGGATCCTTGGGGTTTCTGGCGTCCAGCGTGGCTTTAAACCCCCACTTTCTACATCATCCTATGTCCAAGTAGATTCATCCCCCCCAGGGGTGGCATGGGGCTTCCCAGGAGGAGGAATGATTACATCTCGGGTCAGAACTGGTGAGGTGTCTCCAGGCGCTGGCAGAGGCTCAACTAGCAGGCACGAGGCCAGGAAATCACTCCTGAGAACTAAGAGGTGATTTTCAACATCACCCTTAACGCAGTGGCAGCCTGCTCACCCCGCCCCCAGAAGAAGAAAAACACCCGCTTGGGGGTACTCGGGTCAACTCCGAGTCTGATTTTCACCTGTCACCGTGAGCTGCTCTCTCCCACCAGAAGCCCGGACGTGACACCTTCGGGGCAGAGGGACCCACCTGGACTGCGAGTCTGTAGTTCCTCTGGATGAGCTCGTCGTTGCTCCTGGTCCCGTGGGCGACGGCGTTGTGCACCTTGAGCACGCAGGCGTGGCCGGGCTTGAAGACCGGCGCGAGGCCCCGCATCACCCGGCTGCGGAAGGCCTTGCGGTGGATCCCTTCCCCGAAGTGCAGCTCCTCCGTGGCGATCTGCCCCCGCAGCCGGTCCCCAAAGTACCTGTCGTTGAGGAAGTCTTCTTTGAACATGAGCTGGCTGAATTCAATCTCTTCATATCCTGAAACACAGCACAGCTTTGGTTGGACAGAATCCCGCCCCGCCCTGCTCCTTAGTTAACGCCACATGGGCAGAGTTCCCACAGAGGGCAGTGACCAGGCCACCTGCAGAACAAGCGGGAAAGGACAGACTTAGTCCCAACAGAAGCGCAGCTAAAAGAAGAGACAGGCAGGGTGGGGAGGCAGAGATGGGTGTGGGAATGGAGCTGTGGGAAGATCAGTTTGTGCTCCGGTGGATCCGATGGTGGCGCCGAAACTGAGACAGCAGGGAAAGAATTCTAGAGAGATCTGGAAAATAGAAGCAGAACCATGCCGGGTAACCAAAGGCAGGTTAAAAAGATGGGGAAATGTCGGAGAGGGGGAAAGGACCCATGATGGGATTTATTAGTATGGCATCAGCTTTTTCTCCTTATTATTGCCTCCTTAAATACATTTTAGGTAATTTTTTATTTGCCCCCCCATGAATTTTTTTTTTTTTTTTGCACTTTTTATTCAGGGCTGGGTTTGAACTTGCCACCTCTGGTATATGGGGCCCGCGCCCTACTCCTTTGAGCCACAGGCGCTGCCCCCCCCCATAAAGTTTTAATACCACAGATACACTATATATCTGTTTATGTGTTTTATAGGTAGAGTAAAGGTGGGGTTTTGCTTTCCGAGTACTGATTTTGCCCTCCTGGAGGCAATACTGCCTGTGTTGAGAAACATGTGATGGGCATAAGATACAAGGAGGGGATAAAGCAAAAAAGTAAAAGAAATTGTCTTTGAAGAGAAATTGAAAAACCTAGACTCACTGTGGATTAATCTGTGTTTTTTTTTTTTAAAGTGGAATTCTTTTCTGAGTGTTGTGGCGGCTGTGTTTTGTTTTTTTTCAGAGTTGATTGTACACATGTTTTAGATGGCAATGAATTCAGTCAGGGTGTTCCATTTTAAACCAGAGCTGATGGAATCAGACTTCTGATTCACTGAGAGAAGAAAATAAGATGGCTTGCAACGGAATAAGATGGTTTAGACTTTCAAAAACACCTTCCACTCCTCAAAGTTAATGAAAACTGACATCTTCCTGAATATTTAAAAGAAGAGAGAAATTGCAGGTTGTGTGAAAATCCTACTTTTCCTTTGTCCATGGCATATTTAGAGAAATATTTCTCTCTTCTTTTCAAAATGTTTACAAATCATATGATTTAAGAGCAGGCTATGACTGGTGCTTGCTATTAGAACTATAAGGCTATTAAAATAGTCTGAAAATATTAATACATTCTGAAAGGGCATGAAGATCTAGACCTCGTTGTTGCCAGAAAGAAAAGAAGAAAAAGGAAAGAAAAGAAAAGAAGGAAGGAAGAAAGGAAAGGAGGAGGCAGGATTTTCAAATAGAAAAACTGGGTAAAGAGCCAGAAGCTCCTAGAAGAAAGAGGGTGTTTATACAGATGCCCCAAACATGTTCACAAAGGCTGGCAGGCGACCCTGAGAGCCCTCCATATGCCACCCCCAAAATCTCCCTCTTTAACAGAAAGATCGTTGAGCCAAAAGGCAATTAAGAAGCAGCTGATGCCACGTACACCTAAGGTGGTGGGTTC